ATATGGCTTGAATATGATATTTATTATATTTGTGCCCACTTACAAATCATGTATATATATTTGTGTATATCTCAATAACAAAAATTCATATCCATATCCAATAATATCGGATAGAGATATGAATATGCATGAGGATATGTAAGAGAATATACATGAGACACAAAACGGATATGAGAAAACTAGATAATATTGTTAAAAATATAGTTCATATGATATGGGAGAGTTCATTAATATGTTTCTTATATCTAAAAAACTACGATTAGGTCTCTTGATCATCAAAATTAGACTAAAATCCATTAAGTTAAGGATAAAAACTAATGCAATTGTATGACCAACATATATTCAGATATTTGAGGTATGGATCCGAATATTTCACTTCGTATCAGTTCTCATAACCATCCTATCATATATAAATTTTAGTAAGGGGAATTTTTTTTAAAAAATATCGATTTTGCTAAATAATTAGCAAAATAGACCATTTTGCTAATTATTTAGCAAAATAGACATCTTTTTGATCTGTTAGCCAAAAATAGGTCGATTTTAAAAAAAACAGATTGCTGAAAACATACGAGACTAGTAGTCCTGTATGTTTTCTGTGAGCACTAATTCTTGATTGGTGCACTAAAAATATACGGGACTACTAGTCCCATATGTTTTCAGCAGTCTGTTTTTTAAAATCGACCTCTTTTGACGTATTGGTCAAAAAGAGATCTACCAAAAAGAGGTCTATTTTGCTAAATAATTAGCAAAATGGTCTATTTTGCTAATTATTTAGCAAAACCGGTCTTTTTTAAATAATTTCCCTTTTAGTAATGTACATTAATTGATATAGAGTAACAAATTGGATATTTCCTCGATTACCTTTTTTTACCCCTAACTCTTATTTTCTTTTTTAGGTAAATTTTGATGTTTTACGCCGTCAATAGATCTTACCAGATGGTAGCTATCTACAATTTGAATGTTTTCTGCCATTAGCATTTCATTTTTGATTGAGCTGAGTTCATGTTTTGTTCATGAGGCAAAACAAGTTTTCGGTAAGAATTAGTCATACCAAAAATTTTTTGATCGGGGTTTTGGAAGCCGTTTAAAAAATCTTTTTTTTTTGGGGGGGGGAGGGGGCAAAATCCTTGTAATGAAATTGGGGGGGCTACAGCAATTTTTCAAAAAAAAAAAAAACAAAAAAAACAAAAAAACAATAAAAACAAAAAAAACAAACCAGATCACTCTTTATAAATACCTCCCTAAATCCAAAATGAAGTCAAATATCTCTTCAATCATCATCATCAGTCATCAATCATGAGATCCTCGCGCTGCTCCCGTCGACGAAGCCGTCGTCCCTCGACCGCTGCCTCTCGCGCCCCGACGACGAGCTCCGCCAGCTTCCGATCGTGCCTCGCGTGGATGTGCGTCGACCAGTTCCAGCACGTGCGCGGCCCTACTCTCGGGTCCATCTTCCTCCTCCTCGCCGTCGCCGTCCCCCTCGCCTCCACTTCGTCCTCCTCTACTCCGATCACCGCCGTCCGTACGACGCGGTGGTCAGTCTCTCTGACGGCGGCGGCGGGGTTGTCCTTCGCGTGCTATGTCGGCGTTGATGAGGAGGTTCGGGCTGAGGAGGCTGCTGTTCCTCGATAAGATCGTGAGGGAGAGCAAGAAGGTGCAGCTTGGTTACGTTCAGCAGCTGAATCGGTCGTTTCGGATACTTTCGCTCTTCGTGATGCCGATATTTCTCGCTGAGTGTGGGTAAGCTTCGATTTTTGTTGGATTATACAGTAACCTGAGCTGATTTTAATTAAAAAGTTGGGAGTTTTTGAACTTGTTCGGCCTCGGAAGCTAAGATCTTGATTGGAATTTGGCGGATTTTTGAGATGCGCATTATTAATTGATTCAGAGTTAACGTTTATCACTGCAACAATTTTTAAAAAAAACGTAAATTTGGAATTTTCAGATTATAATTCTTCCACCTACTAATTATGATGTGCATTCCAGTACAATGGGCAAAACAAGTTTTCGGTATGACCAAAGAATCAGTTTGATCGAAGAGAGATTGGGCGAATTCACCGGAATAATCAGTTGATTCTAATAGAAAATCTTTGTAATTTCAAACTCGATGACCTACGTTATGTGCCGTAAATCATTAGAATGGCCGGAGTTAAATGCTACAATAGCTGGTCATACATGATTAATTATGATCAAACTATTTGAGCAAATTTAATTCTCAGAAAAAAAATATATTCTCTACTACAAAACTTTTGCTCGAACTTCGACATCTAGATGACCATACATGATAAATTCGATAGCTGAAACTCTTATACTCGTTATAGGTACAAAGTTTGGTGGTATCTAGGTGCGAGGAGGATCCCTTTCTTGGGCAACGAAGTGGCAAGCGATGTGGTGGCTTGTGCGTTGGAGTTGGCATCTTGGATATATCGAACAACTATCTTCTTTCTAGTGTGCGTACTCTTCCGTTTGATCTGCTTCCTTCAGATAATGAGGCTCCAGGACTTCACAGCGGTGTTCCAAGAGGAGTCCGAGGTGGCTGCTATTTTGGAGGACCATCTGAAGATCAGGAAGCAGCTTATGGTTATAAGTCACAGGTTCAGGATGTTCATCGTCGCGGGAACGATTCTTGTTACCGCCAGCCAGTTTGCGGCGCTCCTGCTGATTACCAGAACAAATGGAGATGTCAATCTCTTCAACACCGGTGAACTAGCGGTAAGGGTTTTCTTTGCTATTTTGCACTTCAACTAAAGTGGTGGTTATTTGTCGTTAACAGTAGTTATTATTTCAGTCATATGAACGGAGTTTGAAAAGCCCGTTTGGGTCGGTAACTTGTTTTTTGGTCTCTGGTAGATCTGATATCGAGATCGAAGAATAAGAATGTGCAACGCATTTGCACTATCAACACTTCAGTTTCTCATTTGTTCATATTGGTTCCCATGAAAAAAAAAAGCAAGGGTCCCCGTGATAAAACATTTAGAACTACTGCGACCCTCTCTCTTCTCCTCTAAAAGTGTGAACTAGAACCACCCCCACTTATATGGGAGTCACAGAGGCTATTGGTGATGGGCTAAATTTTCATTCACGTTTCAATGATAAGCACCAGATTGCTTAGGATTAGAGAAAACTCTCCACTCCCCAACCTTGTCTTGTTGCCCTACGGATGTCATAAATCTTTACGGTGTGCTACATTCATAAACCAGCCCATTTTTATTGATTAGTTTCAAACTCCATCTCACTACTACAATGTCCTGCAGCAGACTGCAATTTGTGTTATATTGCCAGGAATAACTCGGTTTTATGATCTCGTATTTTGCAGCTATGCTCAGTGGTGCTCATCACAGGCCTGCTCATATGCTTAAGAAGCGCCACGAAGATCACGCACAAGGCTCAGGCTCTAACCAAGCACGCTGCCAAATGGCACGTGTGTGCTACCGTCGACTCCTTCAATGTTGATCCTGAAACGCCCTCCGCTGATGTCGTGTCCGTCGTCTTCCCTGATAGTAACAATGTTGAGAATGAAGAATCCAATGAAGAAGATGAGGCTGATGATGAAGATGAATACCAGGCCCTGAAGCTCGTACCGCCTCATGCTAACACCATTTCTTTCCAAAAGAGACAAGCATTAGGTGAGACTGTATTCTATTGATTTCAAATATTAGATTTTTTTGTTCATTTATTTTTCGAGTTGAGATCTTTAATCTTGTTTTTCTCGGTTCGTAAATGGGCAGTGACGTACTTGGAGAACAATGCAGCCGGAATCACTGTTTTCGGGTTTGTGTTGGACAGGAAATACCTCCATATGGTCTTCATGGTTGAGCTTAGCTTAAATCTGTGGGTGTTAGGAAAGACAATCGGAATCTCGTAAAGCTACTCTTCGCTTGATTTCTCTCCTCACATTCTCATTCAATTCATTTTTTTTTCTGGAATATATGTTTGTTATGTAAAAATTTTTAAAAAAATGTCCATCTTTTCCTCTGGAATATATGTTTGTTATGTAAAAATTTTTAAAAAAATGTCCATCTTTTCCTCTCTCTCTCTCTCTCTCTCTCTCTCTCATTCTTAGTTATTACTTATTTGATATCTGAAATAGGTCTCAGAACATCTCTCTCTCTCTCTCTCTCTCTCTCTCTCTCTCTCTCTCTCTCTCTCTCTCTGTGTGTGTGTGTGTGTTTCAATTTTGAGGAGTAATCAGAGAGGATGTGATTCGTGAGAGTAAAGTGTCTTGTTGAACATTTTGTACCTATTGTCCATTTCTTCCTTGGTATATAAATTGATGAGTAATTTTTATAATTGATTGTATGATAATAAGAAAGGAGGGGTTTTATGTTGCTGCTGCTAATTCAGTAATAGAATATTGTTAGATGAGAAATAGGACTTTTGTGTAGTTATTAGCTTTGACGTTCAAGCGAAAAATGCTTTCGGCACTTTTTTATTTTTTTTGTTGCATTAAGAGGCTTTTTAACAAAACAAGAAAACTATGACAAGTAATATCATGTACAATACCCCTCTTTTTATACAAGTTGCAAATAAAACGATTGTTAACTGCTGACGCACGAGGAGAGAAACACGTTCCTCGTTCTCACTTGCATTGGTCAATTGCATCATTTTGTGTACAATCACTCGTAAAATTTTGAATGGAATGGAGAAAGCAAACTTTTTTTTAAAAATAAAATACCTTATTATATGAAAAAAGGTTGAAAAAATCTCTACAGTCTTGTATGAAAAAATCTACTTATTTCCACTTTGGGGTCGTTTGGTTGCGAAGAAACCTATTTTCTATAACACATTTATTTTTCTTGTTATAGAAAAATGGCCAAAAAATCACGGGTTATAGGTCATGAGATCGTTAATTTTGGCTTTCTCCATTCCTTTCAATGGGCTGAAACGAATTAGAAGCGTTACTTTTGGCCAAAAATTACGGGTCATGAAAAAATAACGGGTTATCGGTCATGAGATCGTTAATTTTGACTTTTGCGAAATTATTTGACAACGATTAGAAGCGACTTAAAATAGAAAAAATCGTGGGTTATAACTCATGAAATAGTAAATTTTGGTCTCCGCGGAGTTATTTGCCAATGTTTCGAAATGACTCAAAATACATGAAAACTTGGGTAGTAGCTTAAGAAATCGTGAATTTTACCCTCTACGAAATTATTTGATAACTAGTCAAAATCATTAAAAGTGGTTAAAAATTATGTGTTATAGCTTATGAATTCAAGAATTTGACATCCACGATTTGCCAACGGATCAAGACAATTAAAATTAACCAAAAATAATGGTTAATAGCTCATAAAATAGTGAATTATAACCCCCACAAAATTCGCTCAAAACAACTAAAAATGACAAAAAATCATGGGTTACAGCTCACGTCTTGAATTTTAGTCTCTGTAAATTATAAATTATTTGATAATGGGTCGAAATGATTACAAATGGAAAAAAGCTCATGAAATTGTGAATTTTTGCATCAGCAAAATTATTTATTAATGGTTCAAAATAACTAAAATGGCCAATAATCCTAGGTTACATCTTAGGATATCGTGAATTTTACCCTCGGTGAAATTATTTAAAAATTGATTGAAATAACTAAAAATGTCAAAATTAATGGGTTATTACTCACAAAATCAAGAATTTTGTCATCTGTAATTTGCAAACAAGTTGAAACAACTAAAATTGACCAAAATTATGAGTTATAGCTCATCAAATCATGAATTTTTTCAACGGTTCAAACTAATCATGAATTTTTCCAACGGTTCAAACTAACTAAAAATTGCCGAAAATTATAGGTTATAGCCCGTGAAATCATCATGCTACTGTAAAATTATTTGACAACGGGTCGAAACGACTAAAAATGGCCAAAAATCATACGGTATAGCTCAGAAATATTGAATTTTAGAATTCGCAAAATATTTTCCAACAAGTCAAAACAACTAAAAATGGCAACAACATCATGAGTTATAGCTCATCAAATCGTGATTTTTGGCTTCCATAAAATTATTTGCCAATAGGTTGAAATGACTAAAAAAGTCATGAGTTATAACTCACGAAATTATCAATTTGAGTCTCCACAAAATATTTGGCAATGTTTGAAACGACTAAAAATGGGAAATAATGGTGGGTTATAGCTCAAGAAATCATGAATTTTGTCATCCTTGAAAATATTTGACAACAATTTGAATGGCTAAAAATGGCCAAAAATTATTTCCAAATAATTTTGGCATTCAAAAAATTATTTTGGCATTCACAAAATTATTTGCCAAAAGATCGAAAAACAAAAAATAATAAAAAAAATTATGAGTTATAGCTTATCACATTGTGAAATTTTTATTCTGTAAAATTATTTACCAATGGGTTGAAATGACTAAATATGACCAAATAATAGGTTATAGCTCATTTAATCATAAATTTTAGTTATCGCAAAATTATTTGCTAATAGGTTGAAATGACTTAAAATAGCAAAAAATTACGAGTTATAGGTCACAAAATTGTGGCTTCAATGAAAATATTTGACAAAGGATCAAAACGACTGAAAATTAAAAAAAAAAGATTATAGCTCATGAAATAGTAAAGTTTAGCCTCCGTGAAATTATTTGCTAATATTTTGAAATGAGTAAAAATGGCCTTTAATCATGGGTTCTCATAAAATCATGAATATTGCTCTATGTGAAATTATTTGATAACGGGTCAAAATGATTAAAAATGGTTAAAACTTATAGGTTATAGCTCACGAATTTAAGAATTTTGGAATCTGTGATTTGTCAATGAATCAAAACAACTATAATTGGCCAAAAATCGTGAGTTATAGCGCATCAAATCATGAATTATAGCCATCACAAAATTATTTACTTATTGATCAAGACGACTAAAAATAGCCAAAAATCGTGAGTTATATAGTTCATGAATATCGTGAATTTTAGAATCTGCAAAATATTTGACAAGGAGTCAAAATGATTTAAAATAAAAAAGTTATGGGATATAGCTCATTAAAAAATATTGTAAATTTTATAAATCACAAAGTTATTTGATAAAGGCTTGAAATGACTAAAATGGTAAAAAATCGTGGGTTACTAGCTAACGAAATCGTGACTTTTGGCCTTAGCAAAATTATTTGACAATGGATCAAAGTAACTAAAAATAGAAAACAAATTGTGGGGTATAGCTCATGATATTGTGAATTATGGCATTTGCAAAATTATTTTCCAACAAGTCAAAATGACTACAAATGGCCAAAAAATCATGGTAGCTCTTGAAATCATGAATTTTGGTCTACGCCAAATTATCTAACAATAGATAAAAATGATTAAATATAGCCAGAAATCATGAGTTATATCTCATAAAATTATGAATTTTGGTCTCTATAAAATTATTTGTTAATAGTTTAAAATGTCTAAAAATGACAGATAATCATGAATTATAGCTCATGAAATTGTGAATTTTGTCATATATAAAATTATTTGTCAATGGGTCGAAATGATTAAAAATAGCTCACTAAATCATGAATTTCGATATTTACAAAATTACGTGTCAACAGGTTGAAACATTTAAAAATGGACAAAAATCGCGGGTTATAGTTCATCAAACCGTGAATTTTGGCTTTTGTAAAGTTATTTACCAATGGGTAGAAACGATTAAAAATGTCCAAAAATCATGGATTATATCTCAAAAACTCGTGAATTTTGGGTACCATAAAATTATTTGCTAATCGGTCAAAATGATAAAAAAAAATAGCAAAAAAGTTTAGGATTATATTCATGAGATCATGAATTTTTGTCACGATGAAATTATTTGATAATGGGTCAAAACAACTAAAAATAAAAAAACATGAGTTATAGCGCATGAAATAGTGAATTTTAACCTCCACAAAATTATGTCAGTATTTCGAAATAACAGAAAATGATAAAATTATATGTCAATGTTTCGAAATAACAAAAAATGACCAATAATTGTGGGTTATAGCTCATGAAATCATGAATTTTGTCCACCATGAAATTATTTGACAAATGGTTCAAAACGACTAAATAGTAGCTAAAAATCATAGTTATATATCATAAAATCAAGAATTTTGGCATCCACAATTTGCCAACATGTCAAACAACTAAAATTGGTAAAAATTTAGGAGTTACAGCTCATGAAATCGTAAATTTTACCAATGGGTCAAAACAATAAAATTTGTTAATAATCAAGAGTTATAGTTCATCAAATTGTAAATATTAGCTTCCGCTAAATTATTTACTTATTCATCAGAGTGACTAAAAATAACCAAAAATCATGAGTTACAACTCATAAAATCATGGATTTTGATTGTCATGAAATTATTTGTAAATGTGTCGAAATGACTAAAAGTGGCCAAAATCGTAGGTTATAGCTCTTTAAATCGTAAATTTTAGCATCTACAAAATTATTTGATCAAGGGGTCGAAATGATTAAAAATGAAACGAATCATGGTTTATATCTCATGAAATCATGAATTTTAGCCTCCACAAAATTATTTATCAATAGTTCGAAATGACTAAAAATGGCCAAAAATTATGAGTTATTGCTCACAAAATAATAAATTTTGGCCCCAACAAATCATTTGACAATAGATCAAAATAAGTAAAAATATCACAAAATTATTTCAATGGTTTGAAATAACTAAAAATGACCAAAAATTATTAGTTATTGCTCACAAAATCATAAATTTTAGCCTTAACAAATCATTTGACAATAAATCAAAATAAGTAAAAAAAGAAAAAAATCATGAGCTGTAGCTCATAAAATTATGATTTTTAGCTTCCACAAAATTATTTGTCTTGGACAAAATGACTAAAAATAGCCAAAAATCATGTGTTATAACTCACAAAATCGCGAACTTTGGTATCCATAAAATTATTTGCCAACAGGTCGAAACAATTAAAAATGGCAAAAAATAGTGTGTTATTGCTCATCAAGTCATGAATTTTGGTTTGCGTAAAATTATTTGCGAATTGATCAAATCAACTAAAAATAGCCAGAAAT